AAAACTTCAAGCGAGAAAAGTGTCCATCCTTGGCAGGGAAGCCGAAATTGTTCTTCATCCAGGTGCGTTGAAGGATCTCTGTACCAGGGGCCAGGGAATGTTTTCAGGCATTGCCCGAAGGTTCTCTGTGCTCTGTGATTATCTCCAAAACCTGTCTTAGGGCATTTTATCTCCATTACCTTGAATACAGCAAAACATTGATGATTTCTGCGGTAGCAGTTTAGCTTCTTAGGCTTATGTCTACTGTGTAGGCTGTTGCTGTATTCATATTGGAAATTATGAATTTATAAACAGATCTAAAATGAGGACAAGAAAATGAATTTTTAAAAATGAAGAAAAGGAAGGGAACTAAAATCATTCAACTCTAGAACATTGCACTTCTTCATAACAAATATCGAGTCGTATTGTACCACTTTGCTACATATTGCTATTTGTAAAATATACTTGCATCGATTGTTACGCCGGAAATCATCCCCTCTGAGGAACACATGCAGACACAGACATCTTTCCATATAAAATCCCGCAATAGTTGAGCAAAGGTTTTGTATCTTCATCCTGTGTTGGTGCATCTATACGATTTACTTTCTCAGGGTTTTTTAATATTCTGATATAACATTACTTATTTCCTTTATTGGTGACTGTTTATAGATACAAAGAGATTTACTATAAAATGTAAGATTGTTGGGTGACTCGCTGTCTGTCATGTTGTGCTTCCGCATCACTTGGTGTGTAAATCTGGAATCATTTTGACACCAAAGATTGCCCAAGTTTCAGGCCGGTAAGTAAATGCTTTGTGTCCCACCACATCATTCAACGGGGATGTACACTGTACAGAGGCAGTTACCCAACAAAGCCCACCACCTGTAGTCCGTGTTTCATCAAACAACAAGCGTGCTGTACCAGTTCCTTGAAGAGATAACAATTACTATCTTTTTCTCCGTATCTTTTCTTTTGAGACGCATCTCTCATATCAGATATGAATCAAATTCTGCCCTTAAAAATAGACATAGCTGTTTGCAAATCATTCTAACATGACGCATTTGGTACCTTAGAGCAACGGGGATTTGGATTACATAAAACCTTTACTTAACGCAGGCTTGTAGGGGAGAAAACGTTGACAAAGGCGTCCGCTTACGTCCAGTGGGGTTTCGAGTACAGAGTGACGACTTCTCCCAGGAGGACGAACATACCAGCGTTTTAGACGCGGATATGCTCATAATGTGGGCTTCATACCCAGATGTGTATACTCGTTATCTAATATATGGACTGTTACTTTTGTCTGTCATGTTCAAGCCAATAATTACACCACATTTCCCATTTTGGTTACCTGATGCATCAGTTAGCGTATTAGAAACAGCTAAAGATGAACAAATGATGAATAAATAACCATGCTCACTCCTGAAAAAATAACTTTCAGGGATGTACGCCTTCGTGTCTCCCTTCAATTATAATGGGAGTGTTTTCCTGCACTTCCTCTCCAAAGTCCTGATCGAGGACGGCGACCACCAGGACCTCGCCGCCATGCTCCTTCGGGTGACCAGAGAAGTCGCCGTTAGTTATGAATCTTGCGTCCCGGATAGAGATAAACTTAATAAGAAAAAACAGATACCTTATACAGTGTCCACGCTCATGCGCAGGGTGTTTTTCTTTTGTCCAAAATGGAAGTGAGATTACAGATCATTCAAAAATTCATATTCTGTTGTGTATTTAAAATATATTTAGTTAATATGATTCACCATTTCCAGGATAAATAGCAAATCGCTTTTTCACATGAGCTGCATTTGTGTACTGGCTAACGGATGATAAGATGCCTCTTATCATATCACTTCAGATACAGGTAACATTAAACTGAATATCGGCAATATATCTGCGTTTCATTCTTCCTTATCAAATCTAGAGTGGCAAAATAATACACATAGAATGTTCTGATATTTCTGGCCTAAACATAATTGCTAGGTTTAATGAATTCCGGATTTCTGCAAAGAAAATATTATGACAACACATTTCTTCAACTCATCAGTCCGGTTGTATAAAAGCTGACTATTTTCTTTATATGTTCATGATTATTTTTTATGTTTAGCGTATGTCTTAAACCAAACAAAGGAATTACATGTCATTTCGAGACACGTACTATCAGACAAAACAAGAAAACATGAGTCCTGATAACCCCCTGGATTTTATCTTCAGGTGTTGCCACGTTGTACGTTATATATATATATATATATATATATATATATATATATATATATATATATATATAGAAGTAGAGAGAGAGCGAGAGATAGATATAGGTATGTGCGTGTCTGCATATATATATATATATATATATATATATATATGTGTGTGTGTGTGTGTGTGTGTGTGTGTGTGTGTGTGTATAGAAGTAGAGAGAGAGCGAGAGATAGATATAGGTATGTGCGTGTCTGTATATATATATATATATATATATATATATATATATATATATATATATATATATGTGTGTGTGTGTGTGTGTGTGTGTGTGTGTGTGTGTGTGTGTGTGTGTGTGTGTATAGAGAATTTATACATATATACATGAATACATGTAACTGTATATAGATTATATACATGTTATATATTATATATATATATATATATATATATATATATATATATATGTGTGTGTGTGTGTGTGTGTGTGTGTGTGGTGTGTGTGTGTGTGTGTGTGTGTGTGTGTGTGTGTGTGTGTGTGTGTGTGTGTGTGTGTGTGTGTGTGTGTGTGTGTGTATGTGCATGTGTGTAGATGTGTGTGTGTGTGTGTGTGTGTGTATGTATATATATATATATATATATATATATATATATTATATATATATATATATATATATATATACATTGTATATATATATGTATATATATTATATATATATATATATATATATATATATATATATTATATATATATATATATATATGCGTGTGTGTGTGTGTGTCGTAGAAAGGTATGAATGGTATATATATTTCTAACGAAGATATATTCGAAACCGGTCAAATACATCTCTTATATTGTGAAGATATTCATTCTCATTCATACCTTTCTACATTTGTCAAAATTAATACGGTTCAAATATATATATATCATATACATAGATGTGGGTGTATGTGTGTGTGTGCTTGCGCGCGCGTGTGTAAAATACGCTCCTGCAATAAACTTTTATAATCCGATAACGCAAAAATCGGTTTCTTAAATTCCCCGATCTCCAAGGATATAATAAATTCCAGGTAGTGATAGAAGAATATAAACGATAACACTTTATCCTTTCTGTTCTTATCATTATATTATCAAACCAAGCATGTTTATCTGTGTGAAGTGTCAGAAGTTCCATGAGGTTGAGAGGGTCTGTATGTACGCCAAGTTCCTTCCTGACTTCTCGCCTTCTACTTTGAAATATTAAGGAGCATCTAGCAACAATAATCATAATTGATATTCTTCTTAGACAAGGTAAGTTTTAGTGGAAGACGTTACATTATTTTAAAATATAAAGCCAGGAATTGTAAAAAATCCGTCACCAGATGAAAGTAAGTAATAATGACAAGAATATAAATGTTCTAGATATCGAAGGTCATATAGCACTATGGTATCGGATTGTGGTGAGAGGTTTTATTTTAAAGTTCTTTGTTAGAGTTAAAATGCCATATGGGGTAGGGTAGGTATTGATGAAAAGAGGAAGAGTTAAGGATAAAGAGTGATTAGATCAAATGAAGGATATTTATGCGTCTGAGGAAGGTGAATAGGTTATCAATATCACCAGATAAAAAGTTTTCAAAGTAAGAAGTTTGAATGAAACAATAGATAGGACACACACACAAGCACATACATATACAACCAATTACGATTATTTGAGTATACGATACTAAATCTTCCCTCCCTAAAATCTATACATGGCCTTCTCTGATTGATCCTATGGTCTCTTAATGGCAATGCTAGTACGACATCGCTATGGTAAGGAAACCAAACCATTCGAGTATGTTTATATATTGCCACAATAGAGAGCGACCACGTTCTTCTTGTGTTTCGCTGACAGAAAATAATTCAATTCACGTCGACCTCAGTCCGTTGTGATTCTGTTGCGAAAATAATGTTTCGAGTGTAATGCAGATGAGCTTTACGTTAGTTACCCCAGGCAAGTCTCGTTCTCTTATCGATGTTTGTGATTCGAGGGAGAGAAAGTGGATTCCATTAGCAAAACTTCCATGTCTATATTTATATCAGTTCCAGCCCCACCTGGAGGAAGTACAATTCTGTCTTACTACAAGTCTTCGGGGAGTTGAATGAAAATAGACAAAGAATTCTTTCGACCAGAATTTGTTATTTTGGAAATCAAAATCTAAAATATTTACATAGACAATAGACATGACATGGCACATGAGAGTAAGGCATTTTCGCCAAACCATGCCAATACACAATGAATCATAGACAAATTGATTAGCATCTATTTTTGCTATTGCTTTCGTGGATAATATCGGCGGGAAATTAGATTTTCACTTTTTTTCATTTTCCTGGAAATAAATGTCGGTGGACCCACTATTCAAGAAAAAAAAAATGCTGTGGCCTAACCGAGGCTTCTGCACTTAGCTATGGAATCATAGAAAAGGCAGGAAAAGTACCTTATTTTGTCGACATTTTCATTCTATATCTTAAGGTGTTTTCATGTCACGATCACCAGGTCAAAACCATATCATATATTCAACAGATTGACGCAAGTTCACACGATGGAGAAGGCACAAGATGGCAGCGACGGCAGAAGTTTGGGCTTTGGAGTTGCGGTACAAGAGTAAGTACAATTTCGATATGTCTTGATTAGTATCTATCTATCTGACTAAATTTCACTGAAAAAGAAACGTCAGATATGATGTGATGCAGAGCATTAGGAGGACATAATTTGTTCACAGTTTGACAACAATAATTAATGTGTAATTCGAAGGAGCAAAAATAGCTTTTCTAGGAAGGCAGGTACATGCATAGAAAAGGTCATCACTCCTTTATTTACATGTGCATATATAAATAAATATATATATGTTATATATGTATGTGTGTGCATGCATGGGTGCGCGCGCGAGCGTGTGGGTGTAACAAAAAATTATACAATTCTCATAACATGCAATCCGAAACCTGTCTTTACATATAGGCTCAGTCAGTGACAGGGACACAAAATTCCGCGTTGAGAAATCTCCGAGAAAATGTTTTCGTAAAGTAGCTTCCCTAACTAAAGACATCCTTGTATCTGACCCGAAACCTCGTGGGCCTTAATTGCAAGGATTGTGCCTTTCCTACTGCGACTGTGTGATCTTTCGCTTATTTCTGTAAGTGCTGCAGTTCATCATCTGACGGTGTCCCTCTCCCTTTCCGACCAGCCGTCCCGATGCGCCCATGCCGGTAGGAAGGAACGAACCAACGTATAACATGCAGCATAAAGAGCGAGGACATGCCCTCATCCTCGCCTATGAAAACTTTTCAAGTTATGGGCCACCAGTGAGTACTTGTATGCAATTTTCTCCGGGCTTGTATGAACGAACAACTGACTGATGCATTGTTGCTATACACTGCACGTATTCATTTAGTAAACTTATTCGCATCCTTGCTGTTGACATTAAGTGGACCGCGGTCTGTAGCTTTCTATTTCACAGAATGAAATGCTTTATTTTCGGAATGTTATTTTCCAAAGTTAATGATTTACTGACAAACAGCCAGCAACATTAATAGTTAACAGCTGTATTCGCCTTAAAATTCTGATGATCCGCAGAAAGTATATGAAAGGTATGTTGATATAATTACCAACTAAATAAATGAATCTTGGCGAGAAAGAAAAGGGAAAAGTAGGAAGGATTGCAAAGTCTCCCAAATCGGTAGGAAAGGGAGGCAGAGATAGAAAAAAAAAAACAATCAATGGGAAAAGTTGAGGTGAGAAGGCAAATACCAATCCCTTTTATCTAAACAGCTTTGATATGCTAATATGTGAAAAATAGGACATCGCAGGTAATAATAATAATAATAATAATAATAATAATAATAATAATAATAATATGTCGTGAACGCCTGACAGAGACGGAGCTGCGCCGAACATGATGTCCAGATTATCAAGAGTGCTTTTAAACAGTTAGGATTTACTGTCCTGACTCACTGGGATCTGAGGAAGGAGGACTTTCTGAAAGTTCTCAAGGAAGGTAGGTTTATTTCCAAAGTGTCACTGAGAGCCTTATTCCTTTCCACAGTTTACTGAAACACTAGCAGATTGGCATAAATATAGGGATTACAGCAGATGGGAAATCATTTAACCATTGTGTAAATATTATAGGATTTGCTTATTAGCAACAACAGCCAAACCTTAATATAAAGTATACACATGCAAGCACACAAAAGTATGGGTGTAATATACGTATTTAGAGAGAGCAACCCAGCGCATTGGCTCTTCTTCCCTCAGAGAGCCAGAGCGATCACTCTGACCGTGACTGCCTGGTGGTGGTTCTGATGTCTCACGGAGGCATCGACGCCAGCAAAGATGAATTCATCTGGACTTTCGACAAACAAGTCAAAACGTCGGAGTTATGGAAAAACTTCACTCCGGAAAAGTGCCCGACCCTTGCTGGGAAACCGAAGATGTTCTTTCTCCAGGTAAGCTGGAGGCCTTTCTGTGAATGAGTATTAGATCTGTGCGGGGTATTCACTCCAGGGACACGTAGGCGCTGAAGTAGGATCATTGTGCATTATATGCGCGGTCTGAAAAACAGTACGTCGCAATACCATGTTATAAATATCAATATCAGTTTTATCAAAATATATACAGTACGTGTTCTCGCTAAAAGAAAAAGAAAAAAAATCTTTCCTAAGGTACTAAACCTACCTTTCGCACAGGCTTGCAGAGGAGAAAACGTGGACAAAGGCGTCCGCTTACAGCGACCAATGGGAATGCGAGTGCAGACCGACAGTCTTCCAGTCGAGAGAGACTATGCTATTCCTCTGCATGCTGACATGCTCATGATGTGGGCATCATACATAGGTATGTAACCTTTATAGGAATTTGTATCTTCCGCGTGAATACAAAATCAACCTTTGATGACGTCTTCTCAGGAGCCTTTTGCACACCATTGAGAGCGCCCGTCCGAGTATGCAACCTTATGCGCTGGCTCCGCAGTTGTAGATGCGAGGAACTCACTAGTAGAAGGGTTGCAAGGAGAGGCACGGTAAAATTATTCAAATCAGTGAGCAATATTGTCAGTACAGAGCATACACTTCTGGAATGTTTTAAATTGTATCAAGATTTTCATTGTTATTATTTCACAGTTAATTCAAAAATCAGTACCTTCAATTTGAAAATAAATTACCACCACCATCCTTGTCCTTCTACTTTTATTAGTATTAATACGATTACTACCTTTACTCATTATTGCTACTACTATTATAATATTTGATATCATTATTATCATTAATATCATTACTATATCATTATTACTGTTATTAATATTCTTATGATTATCATTGATGTTGCTTTTGCTGCTTGCCAATGATCACCTCGACTCTTACTAGTATTATCAATGATACTACAACTACTGCCACTGAGATCTTTCCTATTGGTACTTTCTTTACCAATTTACACCTCAGAAAAACAGAAATGGATACCTGCCAACTCATACCTTCCTCCCCAGGGACCTTTGCCTTCAAGTCAAGCAACAACGGCATGAACGGGAGCGTGTTCCTGCACTTCCTCGCCAAGGTGCTGCAGGAGGAGGGCGACCAACAGGACCTCTCCACCATGCTCCTTCGAGTGACCCGGGAAGTCGCAGTCAGTTACGAGTCCTATGTCCCGGGGAATTACCATCTCGATATGAACAAGCAAATCCCTTACACAGTATCTACACTCATGCGCAAGGTCTTCTTTAATTCGAAATGATCGAGAACGTTAAATGAAATATGACCGGTAAAAAAAAATATATATATATAAATGTACCATATACACGAGAGATTGGGGCCAGTTTTAAGTTATAGGTAGAGGGAAAGAAAAAATCCCTTGGACAGCTGAAATATGTATAACTTTCTCATCCGCCATCTATTATTTGACCAGGAGATGGCACACTGACAGCAATGAAAATATTATTCGGAGTGTACGTATTTGCTTTGTTTAAGGTAGTAGGTCACGAGTACCGAAGCAAATTATAACTGAGCGAAGCAGGGATTAAAATTCTACAGGTTACATTGATTCAACTCAGTACGTCATTTATGATACATTAAAGCTTAATTTTATGAATCCATTTATCTAAACTATGGAACTTTAAAATTACAAAATCTAAAGCAGGTCAGATTTTTTGTTGGTCTGCGCTCAGCTCTACGTGAACAGTGAGTGCAATTAAGAATTAATCAGAGCTGATTTTGATTGTTATGTTACAATCGTTCTGATCATGAGAAATAATAAGTCACTAGTTGTACTATTCATGGTTAAACGATACAGTTTGCTTTTATCGTCCTGACTTCTTTTAAGGGTGTAAGGGTTATCTATGATATATGTGATTATCATGCTCATGTGTGACACATTTATATTTAGATTTAGTCCATTTTAATAAAAACTTACCTTTATCCCATACCCTGTATTTAGAATTAAATTCTAATGAGCAAAAATGTTTATATTTCCTAAATGTTGGATTTTATAAAGCATACAATTTACTTGGCTTTTCTTACTCTACTTGTAATACGTTATACAACATACATGCATCACTATATCAGTTCACTGCGTCTATATCACATCATTTTGTTTGAAAGTTGTCGAGACTTACGGGCCCGAGGATCACGCCACCATCACTTCCGATCACCACACTCTTCACTAAACCTCTGAGCACACCATAAGCCCGTTTCAGACACGTCGACTTTTCGCCCTGTGTCATAGGCAGTAGGATGTCATGCTTTCTACAGCGGGCATGGCTAAACGTACGATTTAAGCGACCAATGGTTTGTTTGAAAGTACAGAAGAAATGTGATACACCTGAAAAAAGCCTTTGAATCCTCCTATAACATTTTCACACCGGGAATGGGTACAAATCCGTATCTTATACAAATGACCTTGCAGTGACTGCGTTTTACAGCCCTCTGCGCTTTTGCAAGTGCTAATAGATGCAAGGGATTCTCTGAAAAATCTCTTGCTGTCTACTGTGGAAGGTGATGCCGTGAAGCAGACCATGCACTATTATGTCATCATGTTGACTGCAAGCATTTCCATTGTGTGTAGATGCTATTAAAAAAAAATCGCAAATTAATAAATCTGCACCGATGTTTTACATTCAGTAATATCGTTTGTGCAGTCAAGCAATGATAGATACATAAATTTATTCAGTCTACAACCATCAGCAATGTCAGTAACTCGCTACATGCAAGTTTTGGAGGGTTTGTACAAGGTGGAAAGCGATGCTTATAACACGATTGGGGAATATTGCCCCAAATATATCCTATAAAGCCTAACCTTATGCTGCCTATTCCATCTTTACATCTACCACCCATATTAAAGGAACACACTAATCCCATCAAATAATTTATTGTTTCCTTGCCCATGCAAAGGAAATTCTGCTAGTAAGGTGGGGCAAAATAGTTTTGTATTTATTGCCACACCCAGATAATTCACAATTAAAAGTCTTTGTATACATGCTTTAAAAATGACGGAAAGTCATAAAAAAATACATAGATATGAGAGTATGCGCGACCAAGAAACTCAGAAATCGCCTCCAAAGATTAAGGTTAGTTTTCGTTTTGTGTCTAGGTTAAACTGTGAAATGGAGCCTTAATTCTTTCAAACATAGGCATTATGAAGGTATAAGAATAATTAGTGCATTTGCTAAAATAATTATGGTAAATAGAATATAAATAATGTAATCATATACTTATATAGAGTAAATTCAATGCCTAAGGTAAATTTCTAGGTCTAATATTTGGTTTTGGAAGAATGCTAGTTGTGAATCTAGTCTTAATTACAAACAGGCGAGTCGTCAATATGGTTATTCGTTGAAAACTAATTCATTTTGCAATCCCCGTCGACTGCCCAACACACCGCACAGATGCACCTTACTTTTTTATGTTTGCTCTTCATTCTGTTTCTGTTGATTATATAATCATCACTAATTTCCTTCATTTCCCCATTCTCTTTCCCTGCACTTATTTAACCCGCTCGTATTAGTGGGACCCGTGGAAATTCCATAGGAAAAATCTCCCTTTTTCACCTACTTCCTACCTTTTTCCTTCCCGTCTCCCCTTCCCCTCCTACTTTGTCTGACCTGGATGTTGATCCAGCACTGAGTGAAGAAGAAATGCGCTGGGACGATTGGCCTTCGTTACCACCTCAGGCTGGCGAGACAAACACGAGGTCGATCGCCGCGCCCCAACCATAGCGAGTCGTCTCCCGCTGCCAAAACAACGAGACGCAAGGCTTCTTCGCTACAACCTAGCTAGCTACAATCACCACGCCTGTCTTTCATGGCTCGCCTCGAAGCAGTAATTTACCCACGCCTGCCACCTCATCTGGGTCACGCAAACATAAAGAGTAATATCCACTAATAGCATGCACCTTCATGTCTCTCTTGGAATGCGTGTAGCATAACGTCACTAGTTAAAATCACCTCACTTAAGGTATGTATTTATTGTCATCACCCAAATTGTTGGACATGCTCTGGGAACTACAGCTCCTTCCCTCGGTGGTTATATTTCTTAGGTTCATAGGAATGGGCTCATCACTTCTATCACCCCCTCTGTTCAGCACTGAAAACTCCGTACATCTGATGATGACAATACCACTTTTCAGCTCCTTGAGGTTAAGCTGGGAGAAGGAACGATTTGTCTTTGCAATGTATAAATTGCCCCAGGATGAATATTGATGCTCAGCCTTCTCTCATGGATCATAGTACAGTATATATGGGTGATTTTAACGCTCGGCAGCCTGCTTTAAGGAAATGTCCCAATACTGTCAACTGTAGTGGCACATAAGTCATGTTGCTCCTGTGTGGCACACAACCACCTAACTCAATGGGACACAGGTGACATGCATTCTCTAGGAGGAATCCTTGACCACATACTTACGGACTCGCAGCATCTCAGGTCGGGTGCTCATCTGTACTTGGTCTTTTCACGGATCACCTTGCCCTCGACCTTCAGTAATCAATCTGTACTCTCCATTCACCTGCCTATCAATGTGCCCATATCAGTATCCCACCAAATTACTGGCCTAGCTATATTTCCTACATGTCTGATCTCTTTTTCAACCTTGATCTCGTCTCCTGAAAAATAATACTCGTCTCTTGTTTAACACATGATTTTTATAACCACTAGGTTCGCCGACCAGCTTGGAGCTCATGAGTGGATAATTGATTGACACATTAAGGCAGCAGAAACGCAGTAGAGTACATCCTTATCAGAGGGATCCTACTTCACATAACTTGGAACAATACCAGACGTCCAGCAGTGCACTTGTTGCCCTACAGAAATATGTTAATCATGATGCCTGGCGCAATTCACGTCTTTGGTGTCCAGGATCCTTTTCTTACAGTCACTGTCAAGATTTGGCTATCACCTCTCTCTAGTTCCTTAAGCCTCACCTTGAGGTGACACATGTCAACAGATGCAAGGAGCTGCATATATCCTTTAGCAGCCAAGGAATACTTCCTGAAGGAATTCAAGGACGTTAAGAGGTGCTCTCCTCTCAGAAAACCCGCCGTCCTCTACGCCTACCAGCAGCCCTCCTAAGGAAAGATGAGAAAAAGACATTCCAGAAACAAAGGATGAACTTCATGTTCTTGCTAGCTGTAAAGCAACAGCCCCAGGTGATGACGGCATCACATACTCTGCCTTGTGCCTCCTACTGAATGTCTTTGGTGATCCCCTTTTACAGTTTTACAACCTCTGCTTCCGACATGGAAATGTACCACAAGGCTGGACAAAAAGCCTTATGTACCAGTTCCTAAGCCTCGTACCAAGTGTAGGTCAATATGCCTTACATCATGCTTCTAAATAGTGCTAGAACGCATCCTCCTGAATCGCATTATATATCGCCTATAGGATACACTTACGTCTAGATTATATAGATTCTTGCCACAGCACAGCGCGCACCATTACCTATTAGAGCTATACTCCCGACTCTCATCTACAAGTCTTCTGGCGTTCACGGACCTAAAAAGTGCCTGACATTGCAAATCCAGATGTGATCTTCGACCAGCTTGTGGGCTATAGTGTAAGTGGACACCTCTTGCAGTGGATACGAGGATTCCTGAGCAATAAATCATCCTATGTCCTCTTTAAAGGTGCCTGCAGCATACCTAAGTGCTTTGGTCTTGGGACTCCACAAGGAGGAGTCCTTAGTCCATTTATTTTTAATATCCTTATACACTGTCTCATCTCCCAGCTCCCTGATATCCCAGGAACAATCCCATGCTATTCAGACGATATCTGTCTTCACTCCCAACTCATTTTACGAATCTTCCTTTTCATATGTCCTAAAACAACAAAACCCACAAACACTCCTTCAATGTTTAGCGAGACTCAGTATTATGCCATTCTGCACAGTATATTAATCCCACCATTCATGTATTGATACGTAACAACGTCATCAATTCCATCGAAAAGATAAAGTTGAGTTGCCAATGATATTTATTATAGCCAGGAAGAAAACAATTTCTGACATTTTCATGTTAAAAGATGTATATGAAAATGCATCAATATATATTACAAGTTGTGGGATACTCAAACTGCAGATATAACTCTCAAGTGAAATGAAAAACGAAAAGAAAATCTACAGACAGAAAATGCAATGTTATAACCAGTTTGGAAAATATTTCCAACTTGTGTAATAAGTTAACAGGTTAAAATAGAAAGCTTTTCATATCAAAATTAGGTTTCAATTTCGAAATACAAACTTCTTGAATCTTTACACTACAGTGACTTCAAAGCCGCTTGGGAATTTGTTAACATATTCCTCAAAAGCAATTTCATGAAAATATTACCCGACCCATGTCTCGGATCAATAACGAGAAAGAACTCTCGCAGAAAATTCACCCGTGAACAGGGCTGGAATTGTACGGAAATTCATCTGCTAAACGGAAACAATAGACAAGGGATGGATTTTTTTTTTTTTTTTTTTTTTTTTTTTTTACCGAAGGCTGTATTTTTGTTAATTTGTATTTTTACAGATTGATGCAAATGAAAAGTGTTTATAAAGCAATATTGGGATAGTTTCCCCATTGTTCAAATGAATTAAACTTGAAATTTTCTGATACCATCCTGGTATGAACTGATATGATGTAGCAAATGACGTGATGACGTTGTCACAGCGTCGAAAATTTCATCTGATGTCACTTCATCTGGGTCTTCCAGGTGGGCATCACCAAAGGCAGTGCCACAGTCCCAGAGAGTGACTTTAAAACTTAAGTCTGACAACACACTCACTATGAATAGTATACTTCTTGAATAAAGTTTATAGGTTCAATGTCGCATTTTCTTAAGTTATACATCTAATACATTTTCTATAAAGGGATGCAGATTCATTTTATGTTGTTGAATATTGTCACATTATTGGCTTAATAATCTACTTGTATATATATATTTTTTTATGCAATGCAATAAACAAGAATGTAATGCAGGGAATCCTATAATTATCAGACTGACCCAACACACTGTAACTGTAATCAAATATTCATCCGTTATGGTAGTGTATTGTTCAACTTTGGTACTTATATCCATTTTCTATATCATCTAATATTAAGAGAACACCAGAAATGCTGCTATGGGAAAGCCACCAGACCTGTCCGCGAATGTAAACTGATGTTACAAGTATTTATTTGAAACCTTTAGTTCAGTTGCCTATAAAATTCAAAGGCTATTTGAAGCCATTTGTATAATTTTATTTGTAGTGACGCGGCACGGATACATAACCTTAAATATGATACCACTGTAGAACAGGGCTGAAATTCTGCAGAAATTTATTTGTTAAATGGAAATGAAAGATGACCGATGGATGGTGACGTCAGGTTTTTTTGTAGAACATTTTTATTTTTTATTCCTACAAATGGTTTGATGGAAATGAAGAGGATTTAAATCTTTATGGAAATATTTTCCCATGTTCAAATAAATAAAACATCAAATTTACTGAAACCATCCTGGTATAGTTTATGTTCAATTTTATTATCTATATCCATTTTCTTTATCATCTAATGTTTAAAAAATACAGAAATGCTATGGAATAGCAGCTAGCCCTACCATAGAAATGTATATTTTTTTCTCTAAGGCAAACATTTGCAGGACTGGTCAATTCGGTTTGCGTTCTATTTATTCTATGCACAGTAGCTTGCACTACATATTATTAAAGGTCATACAACAGCAATTACTGATCCATTAAGATATGCATTTGGAAAAGAAAACAATGAAAGTTTCATGGAATTGCTTTGTAGATCATTCTTCCAAAGTTCTCCAACTCAAAGTACAATTCCTTCATGATCTCTTAGAAAGTTCTGGATGTCCTCTCATCACATAGGTATTCTGCAAATATATCTCCTTAGGATAAGCATCACAAAGCAATATTCCTTGTTGCTCTTGCCAGTTTTAGACATTTCTCACTTTCTTCTTCCTTGCTGATCCAGTTCAAGCTCCCACAGCTCATCAAGTTCAAAAGTATGTTACTACTATCACATTTTCAAGATCTCTAAATCTTGAAAGGGTAAAAGAAGCAGGTCAGTGATCTTCATGCCACCTAAACAAGTGTCACAATAAGTGGGTATCAATAAAGTATTTTGATTTCACCAGATTTGTCTCTCACATTCATTTGCTATTCAGCATCTTGAGACCAGAACAGAGACAGAAAGTCAGGCATTCAATGGATGGAAACTTTCTGTTTCTGTCTTGGAAGTCTGGTGTCAAGGGTTCATTCCCATCCCCAATCAAAAGTCTTTTTTCAACAGTTTTGATGATCTGAGGTCAACAGGCCGATGTTTTGCCTGCATAAGAACAAGGGGGTTGGAGTT